ATTGGGTTGTTTATCTTCCTTTTGTTAAGTTGTATGAGTTCCCTGTAAATGTTGGAGATTAAACCCTTATTGGTGATAACATTTGCAAATATGTTCTCCCATGCAGTGGGCTTTCTTGTTGTTTTGTTGATGTTTCCCTTTGCTGTGCAAAAGCTTTTTATTTTGATGTAGTCCCATTTGTTTATTTTCTCTTTAGTTTCCATAGCCCTATTTTATTTTTTAAAATATATTTTTATTGATTTCAGAGAGGAAGGGAGAGGGAGAGAGAGACAGAAACATTAATGATGAGAGAGAATCATTGATTGGCTGGAGATGGCAAGTTTTTAAAAGCAATAAATCCAAGGGAGAAATGTAAGCTCCACACAGGCTATCTTTTTACTGCTGTGTCCCAAGCACTGAGAAGAGGAATAGTGCCTAGAACACAGTAGCTGTTCAATAAGTACTAGTTGAATGAATGAATGAGGGTTCTCATTGGCTTGACTTAGGTAATGACAAAAGAAATTAAGAGAAGTAGATTGGGTTCCAGACATATTTAAGACATAAAAATAAACAGGGGCTGAGAGAGAAAAGATTTGGAGGCTGAGAGATAAAAAGAAGAGGAATAATTTTTCCATAGCCTATTTTAAATATAGCAACCAGAGTGATCACATGATTTCTCCACTCCACAGCCTTTCTTGGGTTCCCTGTTGAGCTCAGAGTAAAAGCCAAAATCCTTACAATGGCCAATAAGGCTGTACATGATCTGGGCTTGAGTTCCTCACTGACCTCATCTCTAGTAATCTCTCCCCCGGGCTCTCTGTTCCAGCTACACTGGCCAGCTTGCTGTTCCTCATACTCCCAGTTAAGTTTCTGGTCAAGGCATTTGAACTAGCTGTCCCCACTTCCTGAAATGCCCTTTTCCCAAATATTCATAGAGCAGAGTCCTTGCTTCCTTCAAGTGCCTTCTTCTCCACGAAGCCTATGCTGACATCACTGTCTAATATTGCAGTTCACCTCCCATGGCATTCATTTGTCTGCCTGTTCAATTTTTCCCAATGCCATTTCATGTTATCAATATAGATGATATAGATATATAAATATATACAGAAAGAGAGATATAGATAGATCTCATGCAATATAATTTATTTATTATCTTCATTGTCTGTCTATTCACAAGAATATAAACTCTCCCTGAGCCTAGAGCACTCTTGGTACACTTTAGGTGCTCCATAAATATCTGTTGAATAAAGAAATGACAGGTGACTGTTAGGTTTCTGCTCTGAGCAACTGAGTGGCTGGTGGCTCCCTGAGGCAGAAAACACAGGAGGAGGCAGAATAGGGTAGGAAAGAACAAGTTCAGTTTTGGACATGCTGAGTCTGTGTCTGTATGACCAACGTTCAGGTGAGAACGACTGTTAGGTAGTTGAATATATGGGCCTGGCACTCAAAAGAGCTGGAGATATACTAAATCTGAGTGTCACTGGATTATAGATGGCATTTGAAGGGGTGACACTTTCAAGAAAATGTCTGTAGAAAGAAAAGAAGAATCTGAAGACACAGTGGAAGGTGAGAGGCAGCAACATCAGAAGAACCCATGAAGGAGAGAGAGGAGACAGAATTAGCAAAAACCAGGAGCTGTGGAAGTCCATGGAAAAGTCGTTTTAAGAAGGAAGATCTAGGTCTAACCGGTTTGGCTCAGTGGATAGAGCGTCGGCCTGCGGACTCAAGGGTCCCGGGTTCGATTCCGGCTAAGGGCATGTACCTTGGTTGTGCGCACATACCCAGTAGGGAGTGTGCAGGAGGCAGCTGATCGATGTTTCTCTCTCATTGATGTTTCTAACTCTCTATCCCACTCCCTTCCTCTCTGTAAAAAATCAATAAAATATATTAGAAAAAAAAAGTCAAATTTAAAAAAAAGAAAAAAAGAAGGAAGACCTTAAAAAAAGGGGGGGGGGGGAGAAGATCTATAGTTATCTATGCTGTGTAACAATTACCCCAAATCCTAGTGTCTTAAAGCAAAGCACATTTGTCTTCTCACTCTCTGTGGGGGGTCTGGAATCCGAGCACTGCTCAGCTGGGCCCTCTCTGTCCAAGTATCTTACAAGGCTGCGGTCAAGGTGTCAGCCAAGGCTGCCATCTCATCTGAAGGGTTGACTAGGAAGTGATCCTCTTCCAAACTGTTGGCAAACTGTTCTAATTGTTGGCACGATTTGATCTCAGAGCACTGTCAGGAAGAGGGCCTCAGGTCCTTCTCCTATGAATCTCTCCACAGGGCACCTCACAGCAGGGGAGCTCGCTTCACAGAGCAAACAGGCAGGAAGAATCAGAGAAAGAGTGCAAGCAAGTTTGTTATGACTTTATCTTGGAAGTACCATGTCTTCTCATCTCACTTTTGCCCTATTCTGTTCCTTAGAAAAAAGTCACCAGGCTCAGCCCACACAGAAGGGGAGGGGTTTTACAAAAGGGAGTGAATACCAGGAGGTGGAAATCACTGGGATTTTTGAAACTGCCTCCTACAGAAGATGTGTCAGCAGCATTAAATGTCATATTGCGATCCACTGTCCAGGAGATTTGGCAATGAGGGGAAACCATTTGTTATTTTAGAGAGAGCTGGCTTAGGGGACTGAGGAAGCAAAGGCCAGACGATGATGGACTGAAGAGTGAGTTATAACAGAAGAAGTAGAGACAGCAATCTTAGACAGTTCTTTCAAGATGCTCAGATATGAAGAAGAGGATTGAGATAGGGTGGCTAGAGGAAGGAATAGAGTCAAAGCCAAACTAGGGTGTGTTTTTTTTAATTGGAAGAGACTTAATGTGTTCAAATGTTACTGGGTAGCCATGAATAGGAAGGACGAGATTGTGGTCAGAGATAGAGGGGAATCACTCAGATGGTTTTATAAATCCAGGAGAAACATGATGAGTCACCAAGTAGCTACCATTTATCAAACCCTTACTGTCCAGGCTTTTTATATTAAGTGCTTTACCTGGATTAGCTCACTGAATTCAACTCTCAAAGGTGGATCACTGTTCTATAGATGGGAAACAAGCTGAGAAACTAAGAAAGTTGCCTAAGGTCCCGGAGTAAACAAGAGGAGTAACATTTGATGTCAGCCTCTTTGCCTGTAGATTCCAAAGTGCATTCCTGGACCAGCAGCAGCAGCAGCACCAAGGAACTTGTTAGAAATGCAGATTATCAGGTCCAAGCCCAGACCCACTGAAGCAGACACTCTGGGGGAGGAGCCCAGTAACCCGTGTTTTAACATGCCCTGCGGGCCAGGTAACGCCAAAGCACCTGAAGTTTGAGGAGCACTGCTCCGGGTGATACTGCCTCTCATGGCCCAAACTCTGGCAGGTGTGGTAAACATGAGGGAGGAGGACTGATGGGAGAATCATGTAGAAAGTTAAGGGAGAGTAACTAGGTGAGGAAACCGAGGGTGCTTTCCAGAGAAGTCACCAGAAGAGGAAAGAGGTTTGAAGACACTGG